GTGGCTAGTTGTACACTCATCTTGTAATATAATAACCAATAAAGGCAATTGCCGGCCGCGATATAGGCCTTAATAATAAAAAAAAAAAAAAAAAAAAAATATATGGTGCACCATCTCTTTTGTCCCTACACCCATATTTAATAAAGTCGCATAATTTTTTGCATGTTGTACTAAATGATAATTAACATGCAAGTTTGGAAGATTTTCAAAATCTTGAAAAGTCTGATTTGTAATTGTTATTATTTTTTTATGTTTAAAGTATGTGATTGTTATTGTTATTATTTAATAAACAATGCACTTAAATAGATATACCTGCGAGAGTAATTTTCTTTCACTATCCAAACATTCATGCAATTTGATATAATCATCTTTTATAAAAGAATATTTAAACGATATTGTCATTGATTTCACCATTAATACCCAATATTTTAACTACAGCTTTACAGCTAGATCACTTTGAGGAACACCTGTTCACTTCTGAAATGAAGTTAGTTCAGGATTTTTAAAGGACGAAGGTTTTATGAATCTGCTAAGAACAAATAGGATCATCATGGCCAAATGTAAGCAATCTGAAATCATGAAACTATCAACATGAGAGATCGGATTCAGTAACTTCTGTCATGTTCTTGGATATTTGAATGATTTCCAAAATTTAATAAATTCTAACTTTCCTTTACTTAAAAGTGCTTCAATTGTTATTTTAATAAATCTTAAAACCTTTTTAGCTATAAGATAGTAGACATCATGTAGACACTGAAGATGTCTCTCTCTTTTTAGTCTATCAAGTATTGGTGGTTGTAAATGCAATCCATATTTTGTAGCAAGTTCCTTACGTTTTGTCATAGTTAGTGCCACAGAAATTTTTTTAAATTGATCATCTGTAAGATGATAGTGCGACATCCTCTTATTGCATCATGCCTTTTGACTCCAGCTAGATCATTCTCCTGTGGTGGATTGGCGGTTATGTCACCGAGACTTGCAACAACAAGGCATTGGTTTCCTTGCACATCTATCACAATTTCTTTTTCTAGTTGTTTCATCTTATTAATAAAAGGTTTAATAAATTCATTAAAACAACCTCCAAATAGGATGAACCCAAGTACAAAATGATTCTTTAAATACTTTTTTTCATTAAAAGGTAAATTGCCAATTTGGATATAAACACCTCCAAGTGAATAGTAGACATTACGGTATGTCTCAAAATCATCATAATAAAAATTAATATATAATTTATAAACTGGGAGATTTGTTTCAAATACCTCTAATGCAGCAAATTCTGATGGATGTTTGTAAGAATATACAACATCTGTTAACTTCTAATGCCCTTGATGCTTATAAAGAATCTCATGAATAAAAATCAGAGAAGAACCATTATTTTAATTTTATTATAAAGTATAATAATTGTGGCAATTTTTATGACATTCTGTAACTATAACTGCATTTTCTATTTCTCTATCTAACAACCACAATTCATTATAGAACCTGTTTTTTTTATTATTACTCTTTAAGTTATTTGGCAATTCTTCAAATGTCAAAATATGTTGGACTGTTATTTTGAACTTGCCATCTATATTCACTATCGCTAAAATTCACCTGAATTTATTTGTTGCTACTGATTCTTTGTAGACTATAAACTCTCCACACTTATATGTTGCTAAAATTAAAATCAATAGTGTATTTATTGTTTTTAGTATTATGGTTATACTTTATTAAATTTTGAAATGAAATAAGAACTTAATAAATAACTTACACCCATTGAATTCTATAGATGCATATCCGAATTATAGAGTTTTTTCCATATATTTCCATGCCAAAGTTTTTTATTTTTTTTGATATTCTAACCAGGCTCAAAATACATTTGGCTAAACAATGAAGGGTTATTGAGAGAATGCCAAATTATATCAATAATAGATAAGTAATACATCTCTTTAATATTTTTAGATGTGGATGGCATATTTTTGCTTAAAATATGAATATTTCGTGTTTTGATTGGAAGTAAAGATAGTCTTTGCCAATACTTTCTAAACTGATGAATATTCGTTACTATATCTTCACTCTTAAACTATGAATGATGAATTATATCCACCATTTCATTATAAGCTTGAGTTGCTATTCGAGTATATAATAAATTTAGACTTTATTAATTTTTAATAACAAATTTTTTTTTTACATACATATGCTGTGTTTTTGAATTCAGCAAAACATTAATACTTCAGTAAGATTTTTAAAATATAGGGAAAATTCTCCACTAATAGAAGGCATTTCTTCGATGTTTAATGCTTCGTCAATAATTTTATCAGATTTTTTATTTAGCGTTTCTGTTATAGAATCTATTAACATTTTATCAAATGCTTCACTGTCAAATTCTTCATCATCAAATTCTTCATCGTCAAATGCTTCACTGTCAGATTCTTCACTGCTAAATACTTCTTTATTGAATGCTTTATCGTTAAATGCTTCATAGTCAAATTCTTCATCATCAAATTCTTTATCGTCAAATTCTTTATTATTGAATACTTCTTCGTTGAATGCTTCACAATCAGACTCTTCACTGAACAAATCTTTATTTGGTATTACATATCCAGTTTCTACATTATTTGATATCTTAATGTTCATTCTTTCATAATTTGATTCTTCATTAGTGTGTTTTGTATTGTTCAAATGTGAGTTGGTTGTTTTGTGTGGGCAACTTATATAATTTTGATGTTGTCTATAGGAAACATAGCAATTGCAAAACATTGCAAAAATTTGAAACATTAAAAAAAAAAAAAAAAAAAAAGAGCAAAAAAAAGGTTATTTATTGTAAAATATTATCATCTGGATTTTGAATTTAAAGCCCAGAACCTATAGTATAAATATTATTTTATCTTATAACATTATTTTCATTATCTTTTTTTTTTTCAAAATAATAATGAGCTATAGAAATGCAAAAAAGCATGTAAAAATAAGCACAGCTAACTCAAATAAAAGGAGCCACAAGAGAAAAGAAGTGGCTGCTTCAACAGATAACTCTAATGATCCTTTAGATAATATTATTATTCCACAAAGTAAAAATGCAGACATCAAAAAAGGTCATAAGTGTTTGTCTTTAAATAACTATAATAACAATACACAAAGTAAAAGTAAAAGAGGACGCAAGAAGACACACAAAACAGCTGTATCTCAATCATCACAAATTATTAGTGAACTTTTAAATGACAATGATACTGCTCTTAATAATATTTCTAATGATGATGATATTCTTGATGATTATAATACTTCCAACAATGTTGATACTCTTGATGATATTTTTAACAATGATGATGCTTTTAACGAAGTTGATGAACTTGCAGATCAAGATTTACCTTCGAGGCCAATGTCAACAGGATCCAATAATCAAAATATATTAACGTTTAAATCAAGGACTAGCAATCAAATTCAAAAGGAAATTATTTCTTCGAATAGAACAGTGCCTTCAAGACTAGTAACGTTAAGAGAAAATAGTCCAATTTATAATAACTTAACATCAGAGCTAGAACCAAGAAATGAATTTAATTTTTCAAATAAAATTTCGAGGACAAAACCAATAACAGTTTCAAATTCAAGAAACAATGACCAATTTAACTATAATTCAAGAAAGATACTATTAGGGTCAGGCAATAATACAATGAATATTCAGATGAATAATACTTGTAATATGATGAATACTTTGATCTTTCATTCTGAAACAATTAATGAAGTTGTTCCTTTATCTTTTGATAAAATGTTGATTTACCAGCTCTGTACGTAGTTATGCAAGAATTCTAGTATTCTGCAACTAGCAAATAATATGCATTTATCAATGCAAGCACCTGTTGTCGAGGGATCACAGTTTATGCCTTTTACTTTTCCCAGATCATCAACTACTATATTGCAAAACCAAGGGGATAAAATAAAGGCTAATCGTGATTTTTTAGAAGAACTCAAATATCTCTTTCTTCATGTTCGAAATTCTAGAAAAGGCATATTTGAGGAGTTGGTACTAAAAATTTTTAGTTGTGAGCTCAATTCCACTGAAGGTGTTGAATATCTTCATATAGCAAATAGACATTTTGATAACTTTATAAACAGCTTAGTCAATAACATTATAGATCTGATTAGTGATTTTAAGGAAACAAGGTTATTTTAGTATTATATAGTTCAATTTAATAATATTATTTAATTCATTATAATTCAACTATTTTTATTACAGGTCTATGACAGGCCCTTTACAAAAAGAAGAAATTTTAGCTTTCATAGATGAATCTGCAACCTCTCACATGCTGAATCGGTGGTTAAATGCCACCAATGTCAATGAACTAAAGATACAAAATTCTATGCGTTATTTATGTAGATTTATCCAGCAAGAATTCGTTATTAATTATTCATTAAGAAATATTAAAAAGATGAAATCCTTAAATAAATTAACAAAGGACATCATAGTACTCTCGTGAAATGGAAAAAACTTTGCAAGCAATCTACATTTATAACTTCTTTACTTCTAAGTTCATTTATTTTATTTCACAATGCTTTTCTTTAATAACTATATATATATTAAGTGCTTTATTTCATAGTACACTTATTTTACACTAGCAACAGTACTCAAATATCTTATATTATTTAAAAATTACTGCTTTTATTAATTAGTATAAGTTCTAAAAATCTATATTACTGTATCTGACTTTCTAGAAGTTTTTCAAGTGTTATTTACATAAATTTTTGTTATTTTAAGAATGGATAATAAGAAAATTGCGGGCTTTAAGCTTGCACTTTTAACTTAGATAGGGCTTGAATAAGCTTTGTGAACAGGCTCAACTAAGTAAAAATGTTAATATAAAGAATTTTTAATCATTTCTTTAAATCAAAATTTATAACGCGTCTATACCTGGTAAATTCATACCTGACCTGTAAGGTACGTGCAGAAAACTTGATTTCTGGATTAGTGTAATCAAAACCTGAAACATGTAGTAATAAAGTATTATGAATTAATGTGAATGGTTACCAGGTACATACGTATGTACATGTAAGCGAATAAGGGGTCCTCTTTCTTATTTAGATGCTTCATTATAGTTGTTATGTAACATAAAGTAAATTAAATGAACCTATAGAAAAAATACAATAATATTTTATGAGGAATGGCGTATTTTATAAAACAAACAAGCTGTTATGATTACATTAAGTATGAATTAGAATTGGAATTGCTAAAATAAGGATACAGAAAAAAATTTAGTCCAAGTATTTTAAAATTGATTTGCGATGAAAACAAAAAAAAGTTTTTAATATCAGATCCGGGACATGTCCCTTTACAGGGGTTCAAAATGTTGTGTACTAATAAATCAACATGTCGATCATTTCAATTTTTATATGAAAAGTCCATGTTTATAAAACATACTCTTATATCAACACATAATTTGCACATTGTTTCACCAATGTTTTTTAGTTTAATTCTATACCCGAGAACCTTATTTATTAAGCCA